TCCCCACGTCCCAGCAGGTACCCATGACCCAGGCACCACCCCTGGTGGGCTGTGTCCCCTCATTCCCACATCCCAGCAGGTACCCATGACCCAGGCACCACCCCTGGTGGGCTGTGTCCCCTCATTCCCACATCCCAGCAGGTACCCATGACCCAGGCACCAACCTTGGTGGGCTGTGTCCCCTCATCCCAGCAGGTACCCATGGCCCAACCACCACCCCTGGTGGGCTGTGTCCCCTCATCCCCACATCCCAGCAGGTACCCATGACCCAGGCACCAACCCTGGTGGGCTGTGTCCCCTCATCCCCACGTCCCCATTCCCGTGTCCCCACAGGTCAGTGCCAGCAGCTCCGATGCCATCGCTGTCCACGCCCTCAGGGTGCTCACGGCCATCATGAGCAACTCGCCCTCGGCCAAGGTGGGCAGGGGACCTCCCCTGAGGAGGACACCCCAAAACCAGAGGGATTTGGGTGTTTTCACCCAGGTTGAGGTGGCTCAGCCCCAGGTGACAGCTCACAGTGTCCCTGTGCCTCCAGGAGGTGTTCAAGGAGCGCATTGGTTACACCCACCTCTACGAGGTGCTGAGGAGCCAGGGCCAGCCCACCCAGCGTCTGCTCCAGGAGCTCCTCAACATGGTGAGCATTCCCACTTCTCCTGACTCCATGCAAAGCTCTCGGCACTGGGGGTTCCTGTGGATCTCAGCCCCCATTCTGAGCCCCCCATCCTCTCCACTCTGCTGGTTTCTCAGCAGCTTCCTCCCAGCGGGTCCTGGGTCCATCTTTCACTCGGAATTGTGCTTGGGTTTGGGAGTTTTGAGCCCTTTTGGATGTGGAGCTGCTCACTCTGGTGCTGCTGGACACAGGAGGGTCTCCAAGGTGCTTCATGCATGAGGGTCTCTGAGATCCTTGATTCGTGGAGGCCTCCAAGGCACTTCACGCACAGAGATTCTTAATGCTCCAAGATTCTGGATGCACAAGAATCCTCAGAATGCTTGGTGCATGAGGGTCTCCAAGATCCTTGATACTTGGAGGTCTTCAAGATCCTTGATACTTGGAGGTCTCCAAGATGCTTGATGCTTGGAGGTCTCCACGATGCTTGGGGTTCCCCAAAATTCTGGATGCACAGTATCTCCAAAAACTCTTAATGCATGGGAGTCTCCAAGATCCTTAATCCATGAGGATCTCCAAGATCCTTGATGCCTGGAGCTACCTAAGATTCTTGATGCATGGAGTCTCCAGAATTCTTCATGCACTGGATCTCCAAAAGGATTGATGCATAAAGGTCTCTGACATACTTAATGCACCAGGGTCTCCAAGATCTTTAATCCATGAGACCCTTTGATGTCTGTGGTCTCCAGATTCTGGCTGCATGGGAGTCTCCAAGATTCTGGATGTGCAAGGGCCTATGCAAGGTCTCTGCCTGGGATGGATCCATCCCTCTCCAAGCACTGCAGCTGCACCAACCCCTTCTTGTGTCCCTGCAGGCAGTGGAGGGCGACCACAGCTCCTTCCCAGTGCGTCCCATCCGCAACGAGCAGCCCCTGCTGATCCTGCTGGCGTGGCTGCCGGCGCTNTCATCCCTATCCTCATTTTCATCCTTGTCACCTTTCTGATGCTAAACAAACCTGAGATAGGGTGACACCAAGTTTGGATACATTCATCTCCATCCTCACCTTTTCCTTTTCCTTTTCCTTTTCCTTTCCCTTTCCCTTTCCCTTTCCCTTTCCCTTTCCCTTTCCCTTTCCCTTTCCCTTTCGCTTTTCCTTTCCCTTTCCCTTTCCCTTTCCCTTTCCCTTTTCCTTTTCCTTTTCCTTTTCCTTTTCCTTTTCCTTTTCCTTTTCCTTTTCCTTTTCCTTTTCCTTTTCCTTTCCCTTTTCCTTTCCCATTCCCTTTCCCATTCCCTTTCCCTTTCCTTTTCCTTTCCTCCCCTCTTTCCTTTCCCCTTTCCTCTTTAAATGACCCTGGGACTGGCATTTGGTGACACCAGGGTTGGGTACCTTCATCTCCATCCTCACCCTCCCCAGCTCTAACTGATCATGGGACAGGGGGATGTGTCCCTTTTGGTGACACCAGGGTTGGGCACCTCCATCTCCATCCTCACCATTTCTGGCTCTGAACCATCCTGGGACACATCCCTGGGGTGGGGACCCTCCAGAGCCCCTTCCCAGTGTCCCACACCCACCCGTGTCCCACAGCTCTACCTCGGCAGCTCGCAGGAGGCGGGTGAAGCCCAGGACGAGATTCCCACACGGAATGGGGATGGACTCCAGCAGGTACCCATGACCCAGGCACCACCCCTGGTGGGCTGTGTCCCCTCATCCCCACATCCCAGCAGGTACCCATGGCCCAACCACCACCCCTGGTGGGCTGTGTCCCCTCATCCCCACATCCCAGCAGGTACCCATGACCCAGGCACCACCCCTGGTGGGCTGTGTCCCCACATCCCAGCAGGTACCCATGACCCAACCACCACCCCTGGTGGGCTGTGTCCCCTCATCCCCACATCCCAGCAGGTACCCATGATCCGGGCACCACCCCTGGTGGGCTGTGTTCCCACATCCCAGCAGGTACCCATGACCCAACCTGTCGGGTTTTCGGCTGTTTGAAGGGCCTGGAAAGGCCCGAGGTGGCCTTGGGGCAGCCCGCGTATCAAAGGACGAGAAGAGGCTTCAGTTCTTCTTTCGGGTTTTATGTTTATTAATTGTTTATCTAAAAGATGTTTTTTCAGCCCGACAGAGCTCT